CGAGCCATGAGCGAAGCATCTCTTCCGACAAACACAGTGACTACAGATTCGCCACCCGTCGATGAGTCACGACGTGAAGCTCTCTCCGAGGCCCTCATGGAGATTTTGACACAGCATCGGGACTATGATTCCGAAACTGGAAGTGAACCTTCCACATTCAGTGACGAGGCTCTACGCGACCAATTAGCCGAGTTTATTCTGCAAACAACCCGGCAGATCACAGAGCTAAAGCAACGAGTGGAAAGACTCGAAGCTTCGCAACAATAGGTGATCAACCATGTTCATACCACCATTGGGTGCTTTGCAGCGGACGGTTAAAACAACGATTGTCGTTGTTGCCAATTGTGACAGTCAGTGCACTCACTTCACATATGTTTGGTATGCAGCGATTGATGCACTCTTTCCCGCAGCATTTTGCAAAACAACCAGTTGTGTTAGCACCATGGAACAACGCACCAGATCGCGATCTCCCACGGCATCACAATGGAGATGGCATTGGGCCACTAACGGCTCTTCATGGTGGCGTGAGTACTTTATCGCATCTCAAGAGTGGATACGAAAGCATTCGGAGCAACCTGATCAGCGTCCGACATCAACGACTCCTACCCAAAAGGAGACAGTATCTACTACATCAACTCCTACATCCAACAAGAGAAAGCGGTCAAGAACTCCGTGAGCAACATTGCTGAGTTGACAATTAGATGCACATTTGCTGCCCCCGGCAGCCAACAACCACACAGCAAAGCTGTGCTGCGAACTCCATCATTCCTGATGAGGTTCAACATTAAGAGCATCATGTTGAAAGGTCATGCCGGTCGGCGAGGTTGCTCAATTGATGTCTCTGTGTACCTCTCTCTCTCTCTCTGAAGATCAGCGTATGCACATGCCTCAATGCAGTTGTGACTCCGCAGCCATTTCTCAGAACTACAGTTGCTGAAACATATTTAGGATCGCACACAGATGGACGAGGACGACGACAGCAGCCTATGGGGATCCGAAGAGATTGATGCCTTCCTGAGGAAGGATGACACCACCACATCCTCCCATGCAGTCAGTCACACACACAAGCAAAAAACAAAGCACACAACGAGGACAAAAAAGAAGAAAGACAACAAAGACAAAAAGGACAAAACAGTCATGAAAACAAAGAAAACACGCAACATCTCACCACCATCCCAATCCACAACACAGCAACGACGCCAACATCCACATACTACAAGACGAAAGAGGACACGCTCTTCGCATTCAACATCATCAGCGTCACCTACGGCAACGTCACACATGGCTGAGGACGCACACCGGTCTCCATCTCGAGATCCTTGGTCTTCTGACTCGATTGCACCTTACGATATTGTGCATCCTACTATTCAGCACAAGCGGTCCAAAACCGCTTGTGCAAAAATGCTGGTACGTGCAGGTTTTAGGTGTCGATGCCATTTCAAGATCATGAGTGACTGTCCCAACAAACTCGCTGTTGGACCCTAATTCTCAGGACGGATTAGGGCTGCAAGATCCGCTAAGCGTGACAAAAAGCCTGCGCATGCGAGTGTCAGGACGACACCACTTTGTTGTTTTGCCAGAGCACACATCATGTCCATGTTGATTTGCATTCCTTGTTCAAGCTTTTGTCGGTTGGTAGCAGCAAAAATATGACAAAGCGAAAGGCTGCCGAGGCCGGCCTTCCATGGTACTCCATGGCAGGACAATGTTTTCGGATGACTGTTGAAATTCCACCCGACCGCATCACCAGAGACAAGCACATGTTCTTACACGTGGTGCTTTGTCTGGGTGACAACGTTCTCCAAGCTCGCAAGATCTTCTCCTACCGCATCAAGGAGATCACCGGCAGAACTCCTAAAATCCCAGCTTTCTTCTTCGAACAAAACCGTCGACGACTACATGATTGGGATTCAGTCACCACATTAGCCACGTTGATGCCGGTGCTTTTTGTTAGAACCTGTTCGGATCAGGAAATACGACAATCACCCGATCGCTATTGACAGCGAGAAAAGTGCGCCATTCACTCCTATTGCCGCGCATCAGACCTTTCACTCTACTTGAAGCATGTACGCCCCATTGGGGCTGTGTGTGTGTGAACCTCCCTAGCACATGGGAGCAGAGGGTCACTCCTACACTGTTTGCAATTTCGCTTTTCAACATAATCCGGCATTGGACATTTACCAAATCAACTGTTGCAGGGGAGTGTGGCACTTGCGTCCTACCACACTCAACGAAGCTGTGGATGCAAGTGGGAAGCGGGACCTGATCAGTCCTGTGTACCTGCATGGCAGCCCCCTGTGGTGCCAAGATTAGTTTTCCTCTTGCACTCGTACTCTTGGCCGAATCCATCAGTGTGTGTGTGTGTTCGTGCTCGTGTTCGTGTTCGTGCTCGTGTTCGTGTTCGTGTTCGTGTTCGTGTTCGTGATGGTGCTCGTGTTCGTGTTCGTGTTCGTGTTCGTGTTCGTGTGCGTGTTCGTGTGCGTGTGCGTGTGCGTGTGCGTGTGCGGGTGCGGGTGCGGGTGCGGGTGCGGGTGCGGGTGCGTGTGCGCGTGCGCGTGCGCGTGCGTGTGCGTGTGCGTGTGCGTGTGGGTGTGGGTGTGGGTGTGGGTTTGGGTGTGGGTGTGGGTGTGTGTATGTGTGTGTGTGCGTCTGTGTCGTGTATGTCCGTCTGTGTGTGCGTGTGTGTCTATGTGTATGTCGCATGTCTCTGTGTATGTCTCTGTGTGTCTCTGTGTGTCTCTGTGTAACTCTGTGTGTCTCTGTGTGTCTCTGTGTGTCTCTGTGTGTCTCTGTGCGTCTCTGTGTGTCTCTGTGTGTCTCTGTGTGTCTCTGTGTGTCTCTGTGTGTCTCTGTGTGTCTCTGTGTGTCTCTGTGTGTCTCTGGGCTCTGTCTCTGTGTGTCTCTGTGTGTCTCTGTGTGTCTCTGTGTGTCTCTGTGCGTCTCTGTGCGTCTCTGTGTGTCTCTGTGTGTCTCTGTGTGTCTCTGTGCGTCTATGTGTGTCTCTGTGCGTCTCTGTGTGTCTCTGTGTGTCTCTGTGTGTCTCTGTGCGTCTCTGTGCGTCTTTGTGTGTCTCTGTGTGTCTCTGTGTGTCTCTGTGTGTCTCTGTGTGTCTCTTTGTGTGTCTCTGTGCGTCTCAGTGCGTCTCTGTGTGTCTCTGTGTGTCTCTGTGCTCTGTGCTCTGTGCGTCTCTGTGTGTCTCTGTGTGTCTCTGTGTGTCTTTGTGTGTCTCTGTGCGTCTCTGTGTGTCTCTGTGTGTCTCTGTGCGTCTCTGTGCGTCTCTGTGCGTCTCTGTGTGTCTCTGTGTGTCTCTGTGTGTCTCTGTGTGTCGTCTCTGCGTGTCTCTGCGTGTCTCTGTGCGTCTCTGTGCGTCTCTGTGCGTCTCTGTGTGTGTCTCTGTGTGTGTCTCTGTGTGTCTCTGTGTGTCTCTGTGTGTCTCTGTGCGTCTCTGTGTGTCTCTGTGTGTCTCTGTGTGTCTCTGTGCGTCTCTGTGTGTCTCCGTGTGTCTCTGTGAGTCTCTGTGCGTCTCTGTGCGTCTCTGTGTGTCTCTGTGTGTCTCTGTGTGTCTCTGTGCATCTATGTGTGTCTCTGTGCGTCTCTGTGTGTCTCTGTGTGTCTCTGTGCGTCTCTGTGTGTGTCTGTGTGTCTCTGTGCCTCTGTGTGTCTCTGTGTGTCTCTGTGTGTCTCTGTGTGTCTCTGTGTGTCTCTGTGCGTCTCTGTGCGTCTCTGTGTGTCTCTGTGTGTCTCTGTGCGTCTCTGTGCGTCTCGGTGTGTCTCTGTGTGTCTCTGTGTGTCTCTGTGTGTCTTTGTGTGTCTCTGTGCGTCTCTGTGTGTCATTGTCTGTCTCTGTGCGTCTCTGTGTGTCTCTGTGTGTCTCTGTGTGTCTCTGTGTGTCTCTGTGTGTCTCTGTGTGTCTCTGTGTGTCTCTGTGTGTCTCTGTGTGTCTCTGTGTGTCTCTGTGTGTCTCTGTGTGTCTCGGTGTGTCTCTGTGTGTCTCTGTGTGTCTCTGTGTGTGTCTGTGTGTGTCTGTGTGTGTCTGTGTGTCTCTGTGTGTCTCTGTGTGCCTCTGTGTGTCTCTGTGTGTCTCTGTGTGTCTCTGTGGGTGTCTCTGTGTGTCTCTCTGTGTGTCTCTGTGTGTCTCTGTGTGTCTCTGTGCGTCTCTGTGCGTCTCTGTGTGTCTCTGTGCGTCTCTGTGCGTCTCTGTGCGTCTCTGTGTGTCTCTGTGTGTCTCTGTGTGTCTCTGTGTGTCTCTGTGTGTCTCTGTGTGTCTCTGTGTGTCTCTGTGGGTCTCTGTGCGTCTCTGTGTGTCTCTGTGTGTCTCTGCGTGTCTCTGCGTGTCTCTGTGTGTCTCTGTGCGTCTCTGTGTGTCTCTGTGTGTCTCTGTGCGTCTCTGTGTGTCTCTGTGTGTCTCTGTGTGTCTCTGTGCGTCTCTGTGCGTCTCTGTGTGTCTCTGTGTGTCTCTGTGTGTCTCTGTGTGTCTGTGTGCGTCTCTGCGTGTCTCTGCGTGTCTCTGTGTGTCTCTGTGCGTCTCTGTGCGTCTCTGTGTGTCTCTGTGTGTCTCTGTGTGTCTCTGTGCGTCTCTGTGTGTCTCTGTGTGTCTCTGTGTGTCTCTGTGTGTCTCTGTGTGTCTATGTGTGTCTCTGTGTGTCTCTGTGTGTCTCTGTGTGTCTCTGTGTGTCTCTGTGTGTCTCTGTGTGTCTCTGTGTGTCTCTGTGTGTCTCTGTGTGTCTCTGTGTGTCTCTGTGCGTCTCTGTGTGTCTCTGTGTGTCTCTGTGCGTCTCTGTGTGTCTCTGTGTGTCTCTGTGCGTCTCTGTGTGTCTGTCTCTGTCTGTCTCTGTGTGTCTCTGTGTGTCTCTGTGTGTCTCTGTGTGTCTCTGTGTGTGTGTGTGTGAGACTGAGTGTGTCTGTGTGAGTGTGTGTCTGGGCGTGTGTAGGTACGTAGGTAGGTGTAAAGATCTCTCTCCCCAACAGCCGCGAAGCGAAGGCAAAGCAAAACGGCCCGCCTCCAGGAACTCGGAGAGTACATCGCCCAGATGGCTCAGATAGCTGAAGGGAGGGGTGTTTTCGATGATAATTGTGCCGAGGCACTGCATGAGCGCATCCCCCGTCTGCTGGGAGCAGGCAGAAAGTTCATGGCCCACATTGACCGTGGCTTTCAGCGGAGGAACCTTGTCGATGATCTTGGTGCCAAGGCACGTGACGAGGCCACTGTTCAAATGCCAATTCGGACAGTCCAGGTCCCGTCCCACCGTGATCATCTTCTGAACTTGCTGGACGGCGCTGTCGCCAGGAAAGTTCAGCTCCTCCACCTTCTCGATCGTCTTGCCCGCGAAGCACTTCACGGCTTCACCAGGCAAGTGCCAATTCGCGCAACTTTGGAGCTCCCCTCCAAGGCTCATCGCCCCCTGAACAAACGTGAGAGAGGTGGTGGCCACCGTCTTAAGCTGGGCAAACAAATCGACGATCTTGTTCCCGATGCACCTCACGGCTTCACCAGGCAAGTGCCAATTCGAGCAACCGGCGAGCTCCCCTCCAAGGCTCATCGCCCCCTGAACAGTCGCGAGAGAGGTGGTGGCCACCTCCTTCAGCGTCCCTGGTAGGTCGATAGTCCCCAAGTCCAGCTCCCACTGCTTGTTCACATTGATCAAATTGATCTCAATCTTAATTTTGCCGAGCTTCAGCTTCCCAGTGCTTGTGTCGAAACTTGGCACCTGGGGCCTGTGAAGCTTCACCCAAAAGTCCCGAAAGCCTGGGAGATCGAGGACATTCTCCAGGAGCGTCGTTGCCTTCTCCACGGTGTCAAACGCGTGAGTCGCCAGCTGGTCTTTGGCATAGTTCACCTCCACTTTATTATTGGGGATTAAGGTTTAGGGTTTATCTAGTTTATTTGGTTTAGGGTTTAGGATTTAGGGATTTAGGTGCTCGGGGGTGTTGTGTGAACTGTGAGACTGCTGACACTTACTATGCTGCATGTCAAAGCGAAACCGGCAGTGGCATCAGACGGCAGCAATGATGCGGCCCCTCACTTTCATCTCGGACCCCCTACTGGGCTCTTTGGGCCCCCTACGGCCTTGTCAGCCGTGGAAGAAAGTGCATCGAATCCACTTTTCAAGGTACCCACCGGATCGGTGACCCAGTCTATCGGATTAATCTTCTCCGCATCCTCCTTAGTCTCGGCTGCGAGGCTTGCGGTCTCGTTCTTCGAAGCTCCAAGGCCTCGCCAGAACGCGGGCAGAGGCAGAGGGTGCAGCATTTTACAGAACACTCTCTCGACTGCGGCTTGGGCTCCGGTCCGGCGCTGGTGCTCGTGCTTCCGCCAGACGTTCTTCAGGACGGCCGTGGTCTCGTCCAGCCGGGTCTTGGCTTCCTCTTCCGACTGCGTCTCCAGCAAGATGCCGCGGGGCTTGGAAGGCACCTCGGCGGTCGGGGAGTCGGAGTAGCTGTGCCGCTCTTTCTTAAGGGATGCGATCTCCAGGCGGTGTGTGGCAATCTCCGCTTGCTGCATTTCGGCAAGAGCCTCGAGCTGCGCCACCTTCACAAGAAGGAAGTTCAGGTTCTTTCCGAGACCACCCAAGCCATCTCTCTCAGCGCTGCTGGCATCTTCGGGCCCCTCGACACTTCCGGGAGGCCCCTGAGTCTCTGTGCCGCCCAGCGGCTCCGACAACTTGAAGGACAAGCAGCCGGCAAACATCACCATCATGATGCGGATGAGGCAGGTGCCGCCCGCAAACTTTGCCATCGCAAGCAACCGAAACACCAAAGTGGAGGGATCTGAACCCCAACTTCGTTGATATCAGTAAATGGCTGCCGACTTCGCACGTCGCGAAAACATGCGAAAACCAGGACACGTTCCACAGCAAGCGTGTCACAAGGGTGCTTCTCGAGGTGCCTAGCTTCTTTCTGATTTTCTACTCCGGTCTCAAAGAAAACCGCTCTTGCATCATTCGCTTGCTCAGGAACTGCTTGGCCAAAAAGCCAGTGAGCCGCAAAAATATTCTATTTGCAACGGTTTTGCGGATGGAAAGTTCGTATCTGCAACTGCTGGGGGTTGGTAAAAACGTATGGTTTTACCAAATTTAAAAGCTATTCTAGCTGCACTGTGCCTAAAACACCATATTCTATCTGCAAAGTCCCCACTATAGTGGAAACGACGCAGAAACATGTTTCACGGTCGCGGCGAGATCTCGAATTTCTCACAGTAAGAGCCGGGCGACCGCCTGTGTGCCACAGCAGTGATCTCAGTCCTTTCTTTGAATGTGATTCGACCTGGGAAGTGCTGATGCGATGCGGCTTTCTTCGGAGATTGTTTGTCATGCGCGGTCTTCGTGGAATCAAACGATTGAAATCTTTGTATGAGAGCACGAGCACGGCTTGTGCCTCCAGCGGAGTCCCAAAGCTGAGCCGAGCTCGTGCATGGTGTACGGGTCACAAAAAAATGACAATGCCTCGGGAAATGTGCAAATTTCGGTTTGGCGCCCTGCCCCGCCCTCCCTCCCTCCGCACCCCACCAAAATGACACAAAAACGACACCAAAATTACAAAAAAATGACAATGTTCCGGGAAACGTGCAAACTTCGATTTGGCGCCCTGCTCACAACTCCATGAGTTAACAGGTGAGTATATACGGCAGGCCCCTTCGTTGGATGTATTCGGACAAACATATATCTTATTTATGTATATATTTATATACATACATTTTGGGGATTTGATCTTGATGTTGTCCTTGTTCGCTCACCCCACCGAGCTAATGAGTGTGTGGTTGCCCTCAACAGACTCGATAATCTCTCACTCCCACTTCCACGCTTCATGGCAGGCAGACTCGGTACTCGCTGGTTTTCTCGATCGAGGGGCGCGACAAGTCGTCTATGAGGTCACAGAAGGCTACAAGCTATAGTTGGTTTGTCGCATCAGTTTCTTGAGCCAAAGTTGCGTTGGTGGGATATAGAACACAATTCTGCTTTGTTGCACGCGAAGCGTGACCACAGGCGAACACATAGAGACAAGGTGCGCGAAGCGTGCCGTTGGTCTTGGCTGTACATATTAGAACTCATAGCTGCTCTTATAGCGACACCACAGAATCGGACTAGGTACCGAGGTCCGTTCGCAGCCCCCATGAGTCGTGCTCCAGCACTACTGAAAGTTTAAACCTTTATACCAGTATACTTCTTATAATCACGGCACGAACTTCGGATTCTTTTCCACTCTAAGCTCCACTGTTGGGCCGTGCTTGAGCCTTGGTTTGACCTGCGGTGAAACACTGGATTCCTGTATGTTTCTGTACATAGGGGAAAATTGAACTATCTGTTACGCCCTCATCGCATACACAGCTTTGTCGTGTAATGCGGTCATTGTGAAACTTTTCCTACATCCACCACGGTTCTCGCATGCTCCTGTGAGCTTTAATCTTCACTTCTCGCACGCTTTTCAGCACTTTTAACCGTCTTTGACTTCTTTCTTCTTCTTCCTTGTGTGCTTGTTGTGGATGTCGTTGGCTTCTAGTCCTGTAAAAGGAAAACTGTTAAACTGACCATTGTTTTACAACAGTCTCACTTGCCAACTACAAACTCAGGCGCTCTCACTATTTTCCATCGCGCGGTACACGAGGTAGTTTGCTCGGCATAGCTCTTTCAGAGTCTTTGCAAAAGAACTTTGGCTTTGTGAGTCTTTTGTGCTGGCTCTTTCAGCCTTTTCTTTAAACACGTTCGTTGTGCTTTGTCGTGGGACTTTAGCCTTTGCTGTTGATGGCGTTGGACGCCTTTCCGTGAAATTCCGCTCCTTTCTTGGAATCCACTTTCAGCATAGCTTCATCCTTCTGACATGCAAGGATAGGCTTACTGCCCCTTCTTGCACCGATTGTGAAACATGCATCGGCCTTGTTTAAACACCTGCCTTTACGGTGTCTTCGCTTGCCCTGGGTGGCTCTCCGCCTTCACTCAACTTGGTCCTTTAAACCGCAACCTTAGCATGTCAAGGTTTAAATCAGCTCTTCTTCCTCTTGATCCTTCTTCTTCTTTGCACCTTCCTCTTGATCGAAGCTGGACTCATGCTTTCTCTTCTTCTTGGTGCCTTTGTCCTTGCTGTCCTTGGACTTATCAGCCTTCTTCTTCTTATTTTTTTCATCCTTTTCATCCTTTTTCTTTTCAGCCATTGTCCTCTTCGGCTTCATCGTCTCTGTACCCCAACTGCTCTGTGGTGGGTAACCACTTGCATACTTTTCAGCTTCCTTCATCTCTTTGACTTCATCAGGAAACTTGTTGGGATTGCTACGAATGTAGTCTTCAGCATCACTCTTGTGAAAACAAATGTCTGGACTGTGCGCTCCCCATCCTTTGTATGGGTACTCTTTATTTCTGCAATAGGTATACACAATCCAACACTAATTGCAGAAGATCTTCCTTGCTTCGTTATCCTTCCTTGGCTTCGGCGCTTCCGGGCAATACCGGTCGATGGCCTTGAAAATCTCCGGGCACTCCGGTGCTTTGTGACCATCACTTCGCTTACAGTAGAAACAATGAAGATACTTTGGTCCCTGCTTGAGCCATCTTTCATTCACGTTCTTCAGCTCTTTACCTGGCGGCTCTCCTTCAGGTTCACTCGGCTTCATATGCCCGAGATCCACCTTCTTCTCTATCTCTTCCATAGGGATCTCCTTGAACTTCTGCTTCAACTTCTCCTTCAACTCTTTCTGCTTCTGCAATGTGTTTGCAGCTTTGATCTCTTCATCTTCTATGATGCTCTTCTTGAACTTTTCGGGTATCTTCTTCGGCTGAGGCTTCTTCGGTGTTTCTTTGACCGAATCTTTGGCCGAAGATACTGACGGCGTAGCGGGATTTGAACCCTGGCTTCCTTCTCTCTTCCGCTTGACACGCGCCATCAGTTGGGCTAATACTGCCCTTCCTTTCACTTGCTGTTCCTCCGGCTGCTTGTATAGGTCCAACTCGAATTCTTCACTCATAGTCTTCAACAACCTATCAGCTGTTTGAACCATTTCGCCAAATTTCTGCAACGCTTCTCTTGCAACCGTTGCACTTTTAACGTCAGCACGTGCGCTAGTGACGTCTTCTTCTTTTTCTCTGACGACTTTCACCTTCTCTTCCAGTCGATTTTCCATCTCTTTCCTCAGCTCCTTCTCGAACTTTTCCAGGTCCTTTTGAGCTTCTTTGAACTCTTTCTCTGCATTTGCTTCATCTTCCATCATGATCGATATGCTTTCACCATACTCACCAGCTTCTCCATCGAGCTTGGAAAGCAAATCACTTGTCTTGATTCCAAAACCTGTCGGCAACTTTGCGACTGGCTTGCGAGCTGTCTCAGACCATTTGATAAATTCACGTTCGAGGTCTTCACTTGGGAGGTTCTTCTGGATGCTGTGCAGATTGACATTATCTGATACAGTCTCCCAGATTCCCATCTCATCCACATTGAACTCGTCCTTCAATGCCTTCCTTGCTCGCTTATCCTCTTCACCTGAGGACTCAACCAATTCCTTCTCTGGGTCCGGCTTGTCCTCCTTGACCTCTTCCTTTTCTTCTTTCTTTTCTTCCTTCTTAGCTTCTGCCTCACTTGCGACTTGGCTCGCCGCTGATACTACGCTTTGTCTCCTTTCCTTAGCTTCTTCTGCTATGTTTTTGAGCTCTTCCAAACGCTTGTCCATGACCTTGCCTTGTTCGATAATTCCTGCCCTGATCTCTTCCGGCAAGACGACCTTCTCTGACGCTAGGGCTTCAACCCTTTCCTTTCTTGCACTCTCGAACTCTTCTTTCTCCTTTTCCAGCTCTTCGGCCGTCTTCTTGAAGCTTTCCAGGTCCTCGTTCTCTTTTTTCCTTGTCCTTCTTCGCCTTGTCGTTTTCATCATCTTCTTCCGACTCACTTTCTCCTTCTTCATCGGATTCCGGATCGGACGCAGCTTCACTTTCTTCTTTCTTCTTCGGCTGCTTCTCTTCTTTTTCTGCCTCTTCATCTGTAGCTTTGTCTTCTCTATCCTCGTTCAACGTCTCTACAAGCTTCCAGACTTCATCCACTGAGGGCCTGTCTTCTCTCTTTTGCTTTAGAAGACGCTCTATATATTGAACCGATTTGAGGCTTTTGCACTTGTCAGTCATAACGACCTTCAGGCCTTCATCATCAGCCATTGCTTTGGCTTTCTCTTCTCTTCTATCTCTTCCAAAGAGGTTCTTCTTGAAACTCTTGTAATGTATATCAACACGGTTGTACATATGCACATCATACACATCACTGCGCTTGCTCTTCCCAGTCCTTGTTCATCTTCTTCACCGACTTTTCTTGATTCAGTCAACGATAACAACACATCTGTCGTGACCGTCTGAATAATCCTTGTAATCACCTTTTCATCGAGTCTTGTGACACTTCTTGATCTTCGCATTTCAACTTCTTCTTGGACTTCTTGAACATCTTGTGTCAAATACTCACCTGTATATCCCAGACTTAGCATGTGTTTCCTTATTTTCTCTCTTGTCAGGGATTTTGTTCCTAAGTCCGACGGATTGTCCTTTCCTGCTATCGCCTTTATAATCAGCTTCGGGATTCTTTGGATCCATTATAGGTCCACGTCTAAATGACGTGCCTTGCCTAAACCTTTTCTTGCGATCAATTGCCTTGAGCTTGACGAATCACTGTATAACATCAGTCTTGGTTCCACTCCTAGGATTCTTGTCAGCAATCCTTTCAGGAATACACCTTCAGACAAGATTGATGTCGCTGCGATTGTCTCGGCTTCGC